TGATAGAATACGTCATTGACTTTGACGGTGGAATAACACCTGGTGTAACGTGTTTAACGTACAATCTAAGAAACTGGGTGCATAGCAGCGGTGGTAGCGTGTGTGTAGTATCACCAGTCGTGCGTCAAAGTCATGGTCTCTTTCATATGTACACCTGGAAAGCTACGCACCACTCCTTCTTTACTTTCATAATTTTATTCCGAACCTCTATGTATCTTTTGGAAATAATTACATTTGACATAGAACTTATGTTGGTAAATGTATGAGATACAACCGATAGCTGATGAAAAGCTGTATTAGGACACTGTATGTTCCCCAGATGGACGCAGAGACTGGGTCATATCGTATGATGCCAAGAAGCAACGGAAGCTATGGACGAATTGGCTGCTTCGTTTGGAAATATATGGCCTGTAGTTCTTATTTATTTCATAAGTGAATATTGTCGTGACATTTTTGTAAGATTTTTGGTACCAAAACAAACATTGTACTGATATATGTTCAAACCTAGATGATGACATATGCCTTCCTGTGATCAATATGTTCTATTTTCTATCAGAACATACACTCCCTGTAAGATAGCTTGTTCACAAACTCATTGTTTTGTGGTTTTGCTATAAAACGTAAGGCATGTTGTAGATGTCGATACCAGAACGAAATGTCTACAAAAGAATTCTTTAGGAATGAAGCATCCTTTCCTCATGTACAATGAATGATGTCATCTTCCATCCCAACAATGCAGTGATATGTCTTCATACTGTTGTTGACTTATACAGTAAACTACAGTTATAACGAACTCAATCCTAGTTCGTTACAACCGTAGTTCGATATAAGCATATAAGCATATGTACAGCAAATGGTCGGGACAAAAGAATAAATTCGTTATATCCGTCAGTTCGTTATAAGCGTGTTCGTTATAAACGTAATTTACTGTAATCCAATTAATAATGCGTGGAGTAAACTTACATCTATCAGAAGGACATATTGAACATTATGTCCCTATTAATGCAGCATCCGAGATGAAAAATACAAATAAATAATACATCCATTATTGACAAATCTACTGAATATATTCTCTCTTAACATACAGTAACAAAAGACACAAAGCAATTAAAAGTATTTGTATTTAATACAATTGTATTGAAATAGTGAAAGTTTCAGAACAACAATGCTACAGATGATCTGACAATACCTATATTCAATCAATCAGAGCTTTCGATTCTGTCTCATATACACTAATCGACAAATCAAACGTGGCCTTCACCGGAACAGTCGATAATGATGTACATAAACAAGTTTACTTCCACAGGCATTAGCAATCAATTTCACGTGTCAAACATGCAAAAAGGATTTTTATGGACGTGGTTTTGGTTTGGCAAGGAGAGTCTGTTAAGTCCAGCGTCTTCGAATATTTTTTTTCCAAAACTAGAACTTCGGCTATATTAATCACCTCCTTTGAAAACGACAGGCCTGTTACCATGCTTGTGTTCATTATTTGATTTATAGATCTTGATTGAATGTTTTTTGGGACCATGTTAATGAAATACCCTCTACTGATGTATTTATAGGGTGAACGTGCAATGGTCGACCGGTTGATGTGGTTGCCTGTATTGCGTCTAACATGCTGCAATTAGTTTGTAGAACATTAGCGTTGGTGAACAGTTATGGTGTGGGCGAGGTCTGATCTATCTTAGACGTTCTGTCCCATCTGTCAGGCTTCCTTTCAAGCAACTGTGGTCCATCTCCAAGTATAAATACAACGCCACCTGGGTTCATTCAGATGTCAGGGTACAGCACTGTAAATAGCCAATGGGTTGCTAGGTTCCTAGTCAGACATGATGCATCCTTAGCCCCAAGATTTCTTGTACCATGGGAACCGAAAGGTCATCGGTGGACAACGATCAGTGCTCAGCTGTGACACTGAGACGGAATCGTGGCTATACATGCTCGTATCTTAAAATACATGTGAGGTGAGGTGAAATGGGTTTCAAGATTATTGCACTTTTTTAGCGACGTACATGCACGTCTGGTGTGGTGTTGTGTGGTGTGGTGTAGGACTAATGCCGATTTTATAGTGCTATCCCACTGAGATACCATGCCGCCCTTTATACTAATGCCGAGCGTCAGACAGGGTAACAACCAGAACCATCTTTAACGTCTTTTGGTATGACGCGGCCGGGGATCGAACCCCGGACCTTCCGCTCTCCGGGCGGACGCTCTACCACTAGACGACGGAGGCGGTCCGAACTGTCAAATAAAACACATATGTGACGTCACTGCATTGTTTAAACGATTCATACAACTGTAAAGTGCAAGAAAGGCATAAGTGATAGGTACGAAGAAAGCAGCTAGTGTGAGTTTTAACGTGTGCGGACCTCGTTCATGACAGTAGTTCGTGTGAGCGGTTTCAAGTCGCCCTAAAGCAATTGCGCTTCTCAAACGTTTCTTCTGGTGATTCCACTTCATTAATTGCAAGATTATTCGTTTTCATTAATAAATTGATGGAATAGAAGACTTATATGTATACGTATGTCATATGTTTTCGTTTCTCATTTACATACGAAACAACAGAAATGCAGGCGCCCATAATCATGATACTCAGAAAGAGTTTTGCAAATTATTCCTTGTGTATTCTTCGACAATGTCATGTCAATAAGTGTTTGTTTAATCGAGGTACCTAAATATTCGCCTATATGTCAACAACTTACAATTTTAAAAATGTGATCACTTTTCCTTAAAACAAACATCTACTAGTATTTTATTCTCATGGACACGAGCTTACACCTCAATGTGTTCTCGGAACACCACGCGTGGAAGAAATTCATAAAACGACGTTGGCACATTATCTGTCAAAGAAGTTAATTAGGGACTCACTGGTGATATGACCTATCAGAAGCACTGATGTCCAACTTCAGATTCATATATTGCAGACGTGTCAGGTACAATTTCACGACAACAATCAAATACATGAAACCCGCGGAAACTCGGCCACACAGTCGAAGTGAAAGGCTGAATTTGTCTCAAGTATGTAAGAATATTTACATACATTGCACATATTTACTAAGAACTCGAATCACTGATACATGTAAATCTTTGACTACAGTCTTCATTCAACATGTCGCCGAAGTACAATTACTCAAGTCTGTTCCATTATGTAACTATCAGAACGATAACAGTGTACGGACTCTCGTATGATCAATGATAATATCAGTTAAGTGCTTGTGGAGACGGATGCTTCTGTGTCAGAGTGAGAGACCTCCTTCTCCCAGCCCAGCTTCCGCCTGACCCCTGTCTACAAGACACTGTTGGCTAACATCCGATCCATGCCGACATTGTCCTGGCGGTTACCACAGACCACAGATGGTCTTTTATACGGGCTAATTAGTCTATTTCCATTCATTCTACTGAATCGGTATCAGATATCAGTTTGCCATAATCATTAGCTCATCTCTCTTGAACTAATCAATTTCTAATCAAGGTCCCTTCCATGTTTCTCACGAGAGCCTTATTCCTCCTCGTTCTTGACACGCCCTTGGTGGTCAAAATGTGGTTTTCTGATGGGGATTTGATTGACTGACTGTCATAAACGTCAAGTACTCAACACTCCAGTATAACCAGTTCCAGATTTCCATATAGATGAAAATTGTGACATTCAATCCTCATAGATATTGGATTTTGATAGGTGCCCTCTTCATAGTTGTATCTGTCAGTTGGTTCAACGATTTATGGCATCGATATCTTCATTGCCCTCCAAAATAGCTTTTACAGAGGCTAGGAACATGGCTAAGGTGGCAATATTGGTGAAACTAGACTTTCACTATCGTAGCAATAAATATTGGGCTATGCTGCGTCTGGCCATAGGAGACTCATAGGGTGCTTCATCTACTGTAGTGATTCCGACAACTTTAGACATAAGTCCTCCCCTCTAGTAACCCCCAATTACTGCTAATTGCTTTTAGGTGTTGAGCCGATTTTATATCATGCAAACACAGCAATAATTTCCCCATAATGTTGATGCTCATGTCTACTCCAGATCAGATTCGTTTCATTCCCTGTGAGATATTTGTCACATGAGAATATTCATCTCTATTCCATTAGATTTATGTAGATGAATACAACATTTATTTGGTGATACATAGATTTATTTTAGCCATATAATGTAGCTATTCAGGGGTTGGACCATTTTCTATTCGAAGTGAAGACGGATTTAATGCATTCCCGAATATTTTTTAAAACCTTTCTTCAAATTACGTCTGTGATGCACAGGTTCCCCGATTCAACTGATCTCTAAAAGTAACAAACTTTTGATTATTTCTTTGAAAACTGTCTCTTTTATGTGAGCCATGCCTCGTAGATCTTATTTATCCTGGTCTTTGATCTGCACGTCTGTTGGAGGCAGGACTCAGATGAGCTGGTGATGGAAATTGAGCGACATCCGAGTGCCCCCGAGGAACTTCATTTCAATCATATATCATCATTCGGATTGTTGTCACTGACATTGGACCTGTATTAGAACCGGGGGCATATCACGGAACAAAACAGCCAAAAATTGAGGAAAATCTTGTCAGGCAGTGAAGCCCTATCAAGCACTGTTCTAATTCCATCAGGGAAAACAGCCGAGCAGATTAGTGGCGCTGAGGCCACTCGTGGCTGATTAAAGTTTGGTAATACCAGCGTCAATTGCTTCTCCACATTGCAATCAAGCTCACATGCAGTGGAACCTTTTCCCGTGTAAAATGTTTTAAACGAAATTTTGTTGGTCGATATCCCCACGCTGGTGGATTCACATGATGAAAGGACCTTTCAAACTTCTTTATGTCCCTGCCGTATATGTCCCTCTGCTTGACGTCATTATTGCCATTAGGCACCGTGGCATTAACTTTCACATATCTCCAGCAACCGTTTTGTCTTTAAAAACGTCTTTATAAAACTAGGATGAAATGACATTTTTTTTCAAAAGGAACTACAGAGTGAAAAATAATCGTAAGACTAAGCCACAATAATAAGTTCAAAAGAGTTTATTAAACATATATGCCTAAACAACCATTTGTGGCAAGGTATGATATGTCTTTATTATATTAATCGCATCTTAGTTGTGAATTCGTGTCAGCATTTGGGAATCAAAACTCATTAAAGTTCTTGATGGTTTTACGCCGCTTTTACCAATATCCCAGTAAGATCAAGATGGCTAACATCAGAAACGGGGTTCAAATTTCGTACCCATGTTGTGAAACGAAGCCTTCGGCATGACGAGCGAACGCTTTATCCACTAAACTACCCACCGCCCCTAACGTTTGACTGCATCTGTAATTCAGTTAAATTTGACCTTCCTGGTGTATATTATTCCGATAAATCATTGTGAAACTCTAGGTATAATGTATAACATAGTTTTACTTGTAATTGATATAATAACGTCTCTCAGGATTACAAAATCTTGTAAGTGGTCATCGTCATCAAATACTTGATAATATGAATATTTGCCGAATTCGTTATTTAAATGACAAATTAGGCATACATCTCTAACAATTGAAACAATGTTTATTTCTCACAAAATATCAATACAGTTTGCAATATGTAAATTGAAGTGTCAGTGCCAGAGATACTTAAAACCATACTTCACTCACCTCTAAAATATAACAAGATTTATGTAAATACAATACCATAAATGATCGTCTGAAAGTTTGACTCGAGAATTCACTGAAATTGTGATCCTTGGTTCTACGACAAAGTTACCACGCTCGAATGTGTCACCAAAGTGGTAAATTAATTCCTCCTTCTATAGTCTTTCCTCTCATTAAGATGGCACGCCGTGACATAGCGTTAACGTCAACATTGTTCAAAGCGGCGTTACGCTCACGTACATATCAATCGTGTACATCTCAGGTAAGTGTGAGTTTTTTCTCAATCAATTTCATACATTTATCGTGAATGAATAATCACTGGATGTCTGTTTGATGTCTCCATTCTTCCTGACGTTGATTGCTGAATAGCCTGCTCGTGTATTTATGTGACGTGACAATGGATCGATATTGCATTCACGTGTTTATTGAAAACATTTCTGATTCATTCCCACACGAACCTGTATGTGTCCCTGTATTAAAGAATATGGTATGAGACCAAAGGAAATATATTCAGTCCCTGTCGTCAAAAAAGTACAAATACAATCTCAGAAAAAAACCGATGTCAAGAAGTATTAACATATTTACATTGCTTTCAGTTGAGCACAAGTCGCCGGTAATTCTTGACTGTGTCGTTTACTATAGAATCATGGCGCTTGTTCTATCCATCTGCCCTAGAAAAGGTCAATATTTGTCCACTGTCGGAGAGAAAGGACAACCCCTGTCACAACAAACTTTCATCCTCTTCTTGTGATTGATTTTCCGACACTTCCTCGGAAGTTTCCTCATCGTCTTCATCGCTTAAATCTGCAAACATATTATAGAAAATAATACGTCTCAAAGGAAAAATGCTCCCGTTTACAAAAATTCTCACATTTTCAGGATCTGTTACATATGTTATATGTATTCACTTCATACTTGTGATGGGCCCGTTTGCAATGTATATTTGTATCAAGGAAATTAAGCAATAAGCTACAACTATACATCCAGTACCCTGCCTGCATTCATTCAACTAACCGGTTTTCATCCAAAGTGGTGAACGTCTGATACGTGCATCACTTTGGGATTTCCTCCAACATGAAGCTGACACGCCGTGATATAAGAAATGCTCACCATGTCATTCACTCAACTCACCACTGTCTGTGTCCGAGTCCTCTGATTCCTCTGTCTCAGTGACGTCATCACTACTGTCATCGTCCGATTGAGCTTTTATTGGTTCTTGAACTTGACCAACTGGCTGATAACCCTTTCGTTTGTTATCTGAAATTTTTTTAAAAAGATAGTAATACAACTGAGCAACAAAGGACCAGGTTATCAGGTTGGAGTCGATGTCATCATATGCATCGTGTATACTACATTACATAGTTCATAGTGCCATTAGACCTGTGAAGATTCCGGGGTAGAATAGGTCTTCAGCAACCCATGCTTGCCGTAAAAGGTGATTATGCTTGTCGTAAAAGGCGACTAACGGGATCGGGTGGTCAGGCTCGCTGACTTGGTTGATGCATGTCATCGATCCCAAATGCGTGGATTGATGCTTATGATATCAATCACTAGATTGTCTGGTCCAGACTCGATTATTTACAGACCGCCGTCATATAGCTGGGTACGGCGTTAAACAACAAACCAACCAACCAACCATTGTGCCATTAAGGGGCTTAAACAAGGATTGGTCGGCTCACGTTAAACTACGGCATGGTCTCTCAGTGGGCTAGCACCATAAAATCGGCAATAGTCCGGATTAGTATAAGCAGCAATACACACACATGTGCACGTTTCTATACCATTACAATGATCTTGGACGCGACTGTAAACCCCATTTCACCTCATCTCACCCCACCCTACCCATTTCAGTATCGGGTAGACAGGATTACATTAATCATGCATACTATATCATAGGGTCGATGTTATTAGTCATCATACATCATACAACAATATTGAATTTATTTTATTAAATTCATCGTCATATTCCAGTATAAAGTTGATATTATTTCATCAGTCATACATACAACATCATTAAGTTGATGTTATTAAATACAGCATTACATATATCACTTCTGAGTCGACATTATTACATTCACCATGCGTACTGCTGCATTCACCTATTTTGTCACTGAGTTTCCACCCTTGACTCACCAGACTATAGACTGTAATTAAGTGTTCGTGTAACCAACGAAGGCCATATTTCTTTCTCTGTACATTTCAGTCCCAAAGATTATGGCTCGGCTTGGGATAATTGAAAGGAATAAGCTAGCTAAACCCCCTTCATTTCGAGCCAGACTCTTCAAAGCCTGTTTGTGAGGCACAGCAGGCCAGCATTTCCTCTCAATAAAGCCGATTCCTATGAAAGGTTTCTCTGTGATGAAACTAGTGGTATAAACGAAGGTTGTTGATGGTGAGTCTTTTTGTGTATGAAAACATAACGAAATTATGTTCACAGCCATATCAAAGAGAGTGATACATATTCTTTAATCTTATAGTGCTTCTTGCAAACAAACCCACATGTTTCCTGTAATCGTACTTGAGGAACCTTTTTAACAACATCAGTTATGTTTGAAACCATATGCTGTCAAATACATTCTTAAAGAAAAATAATGCATGATCCGACATGTAACAGTCCGAGCACTGGCACCTGTGCCAACACATCAGCTAACATTAATTGGATTTGGTTACAATGGAGGTACAATTCGGGTCCTTACTGTTGGACTGGAGAACACCAATTAGCTCATTAAAAGGTCAGTTCAAATGACTGTAGTAATTATTTATCGTAATACCCTGACTACGATTGCCGATGCTCATTACGTCCATCAATGGATTGTCTGGGACAGACTCGATTATTTACAGACCGCCGTCATATAGTTGGAATATTGACATATATACATAATAAATATATGTATTCAACGTAACATATCCCAGCAAAGGTGAGGGTTATCTGATTACCTACACTTACGATTAACTGATGCTTTGAATGTAAAATAATGTTGGGTAAACAAAACGTGGTGAGAATGACCCTTCTATTATAGGTGCATCTACCTGTCATTAATGAAGATCTGAATGTGTGCTTGTAAAGGCCCTGTTCCAACATTCCAACACATATTAGTTGCGCATATTATCAATAGATTACACTACCCAACCATGCTGATGATGTAAGAGTGTGTACTTTAGTTTCGTCAACTGTGAGTTGATAATTGATACGATCAATACACCACTTTACCCTACCGCACTAAAATGTCGGTATCCAGGGACGTATTGGTCTTTGCGGAACATCCTACCGCAATAGTTCCCCCTAACGATGTTTGCCAATGTTATTCCCCCTTTTTCGAATATCGAATGGCACCCTAAGGCTACTGGCAACAACCGACCACAGGAGCTGAAGCAAGATGTTGACGGTAGAGATTTGTCTTAAGGTGGTGTGGCCATGATGAACAAAGCATTATCTGTGTTTACCCGTAGTCACTATCACCTTGAACTCCCTAACCTAAACACTTGGGTTTAGATATCGTTATTAGTTCGAAAAGAAACGTAGTCCGATTGCAAAAACATAATTTGGAATTTTCTTTGCAACGCCTATAGTTCTTCGGAAGACCCTGAAAGTAGAGCGTGCTGACAACATTGTTGTCTTCATTACCAGAGAAGCTTGTTCCGTCATCTGGTATCTTGAAATCTTGACCTTATTTTCAAAAGTTGATGGGCTTGAAATACTTTCATGTGCAAACTATCGTGCCAATAAATATCCAGTTCTCAAGCGGAAGAACCATATTAATTCCGACTGCATGGCTCCCCACGTGTTATCCTTCAAGTTCTCACGGAATCATCTTCTAAATATAAATAGAGTTTAAATTTTCCTCTGTCGGCACAATAAGATTTCGTTGCGTTGACGTCAGTAATATTGAGAAGTGAAACAGTCATTATGCTTGTTAGATGCGACATTTTCGAGACGTCAGTTTGCCCCTCCAATCGATCAAGTGAGACCTGAGGCGGGCCTTCATTCAATCTCTTCAAATGTTGACATTTCGTCCGTCAGGTCTGAGAGGTTTGAGCCCGGAGCCTCTACACGACAAGTTTCCTTAACCAGCATTACACCTTGGTAGACTCTGTCATCTACAACTACTCGGCTATGATCGATCAGTACCGGTTCTCTACAGATTCACATTGATTGTCAAAATTACACTAAATGTGCCATTGCCCAAATGGCTCACAGGAAGGAGACATTTGCCACATGTAATTTTCTGACCGGTCTCTCAGTTGACGACTTTTAGATTTAGCAGACGAAACAGCCAATAACAGTTGATTTCTGCGTCCTAGGAGTGGGGGAAATGACAGGATAGAAGCACAAACCTCACGAAACACAATTTGACGAACTTTATCCCTCATTAATTGACTAACAGCGTCTAAGTTAATTTGCTGCTCGGGTGAGGCTGAAAGGACAGCCGATGGTCCGTTTCGATTGACTTTGGGCCAGAAACGGAGCCATCGTGCTCACACACAATCGAACGCTGACACATGCTACAAGGTATCGGCCAAATAGTTCATGTTCCAATCTGGAGGACACACATTTTTCAAGTGTCTTCCTGATCCACATAAATTCAATAAACCTTTCCTAGAGAAGGAATGATCTTATCTTGACATACCTCCGAGTAATTTTGCTGGACCAAGAGTTTGGCTGCACACAAAAATGTTTCTCGGGCAACATTTTTCCCTAAACGGAGTGTGTAAAACTTTTAAATATTTTTTATTTTAAACACAGGTCGTACAGGAATAATTCTGTTGTTATATCTCTTACAGAGAATACCAGCAAACACAACTGGACACACATTGAAATTGGCCTTTTGATCACCAATTACAGCTGGCCGGCATTTTAAGGATAAGTTGACGCGGAAAATTACTTTTCCTTTTATTACTATTAGTATTATGAGTGACTGATCCCCGTTTGTTAATAGCCTAAGCATAGCCAATTGTGTTTGTATAAGACGGCGGTTAAATGATCGAGTCTGGACCTGACAATCCAGCGACTGACTTCATGAGCATCGATCTACGCAATTGGGTAATGATTACATGCATCAACCAAGTCAGCGAGCCTGACCACTCGATCCCGTTAGTCGCATTTTAAGACAAGCATGGGTTACTGACGACCAGCTCGTACCCGGATCTTCGCGGATCACATGACCTTCACTCACTACTATCTTTATTGGTCATAATGAGAAAACGGGAATTAAATGTAAAGTTATGTGGTGTTAAAGTAGTAGTAGTAGTATTAGTAGACACAATAAGACGTTGTAGACTGTAGTGGTAGTAAATGCAGTTGAGGGCAAACTTCAAGTTGGGAATGTTTTTTTCTGGTCCATCAATGGGATGTCTTTTTAGGACTCTATGGTTCCCCATCCGTCGTCGTACTGGAGAATTGTTGTAGACGTAGGTAACAGGACATGCATACCCTTTTCGCGAACACTTCATGCCATCATTGATTTTCATTGAGTTCCTACAGTTTTCACCACTGTTTTGCGATTTTCTTTCCAGATGAATCTGTTTCAGCAGATAATCCACACTGATTATTCTCTGGCGTTTTATATTGATATGTGTGCTCCTATAGCAAAGATGCGTGAGTTAAAAGATAAAAATACATGCGTATAATTCAATCAGAGTACGTCATGAGTGTACATGTATGTTACAGTCAATGTGCAAAACGCTATTCACTTAGACAATTTAAGTTGTCTAAATGCTTCGGTTATTTTACAAATTCACTGAAAAATCTGTCCATTTATGTAACGTTTTGATTAAAAGTTATAAATAAGATCAAAAGGACGCAAACACATCATAACAGACTATTATGCTAGTATTAGAAGCCAAAAAGTATATATACGTTGACTTTCGTTTTCTTTTAATCCCATCATTTTAGTGATGAAATTACACATCAAAATGTCGTCAAAATTTCACTCAGTATGCACATTGACTGTAACATGCATGTCATGTTCAGTTGTTGTCACTCGAAATCTTTCTGTAGTGTTAATGTGCGCACGTGTGTGTGCGTGTGTGTGCGTGCGCGCGTGTCCGGTGTGTAATTTATTATTAGAGATGTATTCCATAGATCTGTTCACGTTACTTTGACGCGTCATATTTCAAGAGTGTCTTTCTTGGAAAGTTATTAGACGGATTTGAGATATCTACATTAGTAATGAATGAATGAGTGGGTCAGTTCAATTTAACTCAGCCTTGAACAGTATTTCAGTGATAGGACGGTGTGTCAACTTCATGTGAGAGGA